TATTTTTAAGAGAGTTCTTAAGTCTACAAAGTAAAGTTCATAGGATCCAAAATTTGAAAAATCTGTATATATTTCTGAATTAGATAGGAAAACAATTTCCTAAGTTTGATGATAAATATTTTAGACCCTGGGCTAGTCTGATTCTCTAGAAGTTCTTGTAATTTGAACTATCACATTTTTAGAACAAAATTTTAGCAATTTTAAAGGATAACTCATTAACATTAATCTACATAAATTATTTTAAAAATTTAGTATTACTTGAGGACAAGTAATATTTAAATTTGAGAAATTTTGATGTGCCTAAAAATGTACTATTTTTTATGTTATATTTTATAATGATATTGCACTTTAAAGAAATGTTTTCTTGTGTTTTTGGTTGTAGGTACATCAAATTGAAGAATTTAGAGTGATTGGAGAAAAAAACAAAAATATACTAAATGGAGCACACCAGAGCAAATCGGGTCGAATCGGGGCACACCGGAGTCATGGGGGCCGAAACCAGGGACTTAAGTGCATGTGCCCGGCGCCTAAGCACCCAAAATAGCGCTTAGGCACCACCAGACAGAGAGGAGGGCACTTAAGCACCAAAAATGGTTTTCAACATAATTTTTAGAATATACATCGGATTTGGACGATTTTTGAAGCAGTGCTTCGTGTGTCTTTTGGGGAATTCATTAGAAATGATAAAAGTGACTCTGTAGAAGAATTTGGGATGATTATATGGAGTTTTGAAGAGACACTTGAGACACCTTTTGGAAGATTCATTAAATATGAACACTTTTGAAGAGACATTTAAGTATCTCTTAGGAAATTATAAATAAGGCTTGGAAATGTTTTTAAAATAACTCCTGAACACTTGAATCAATTGAAAGAGGAGAAGACTTGGAGAAGAAGAAGAAGGCTTGGGCGTGAGCCCGAAGGGGGGTGACAAGGTGAGAGAGAAAGAGAGAGAGTGAGAATTTCTTCTTTTCTTTTCACTGACTGTGAGGAGATTGTTTTTTCTATATAAGGATAGTTTGATTGCCATCAAAGATAAATATTTTTATTGCATTTTGATTTAAATCTAGTACTTTGTTTGCATGGTTTTAAAGTCTTGTTCAATGAAAAAGTTCTTGTTTCTCCATGTGTAGTGAGTAGTTTTCTTTACTTTTCCCTCTTACAATAAATTAATATGGTTGTGTAGGATATAGAATTGAGTAAAGTGAGAATATATTGTGATTATTTTACTTTGTTCTTCATTTACATGTAAATTTGATCAACTTGCATGTTAAAATTTGTTGTGAGAACATGTAAGATCTGTGATGGTGTTGTCTCAATCAACTAAATGGTAGAATCACATGAGATTGTATAGATGAGAATGTAGTCCATATGGTTGAGTGCAAATAAATAGGGAGATAATTTAATAGATGTAGAATTAGAGGACTTTAGAGTGAAAAACTAAAACCCCTTAATTTGGTCTATTATTTTAGGTTTTGATGCGAGATGTTAGCCTCCAGGTGAAGGGATAAGAGGAAACTCTAGAGTGAGAACTAATATTTTTCCTGCTTAGCCCGTCTACAGAACTATTTAAATTTTAGATTAACTAATGTTCTTTATAGCATCTCTAGTAAGGGTAAAAAATATAATTGCTCCCATTTGTCATAATCTCTCTCACTATTTATTTCTCACTATACTATTTATTTTACTTTTACACATGTCACTAATTTCATTGCATGAGTAAGAGTACTTTTAATATATTAAACTCTACTTTTTGATTTTGACTAAGTATTTTAGTTTAAAAGTAGAAGTAGAATTGTAGTAATAATTGTAGAATATAATCAAAACCAACCCTCTATCAACCTTCAAAGCTAGAACGTGTTATTCTAGAATAGAACTTCTGTTGAAAGCTGTCGTGATTAACATCGATCTCCGTGGGATCGATATTCGGAGCTTAATTAGAAAGATCTATATTACTTGATAACGATACGTATACTTGCGTAGAATCCCTTCTATTTAAAAATATAATTGACATCTTACTTTGCTTCAGATCAAGTTTGGGATCAAGTTTTTGGCGCCGTTGTTGGGGATTAAAATTTTTAAGTAGTGGTGTCAACTTCATAAATTCTTATATATAAAAAATATTGGGATCAGAGGTGAAGGGAGTAATTATATATTTTTTCATATTTTGTTTTCCAAAAAACTGAAAAGATGCCTGAGGAGTGGAGAAAGATTATTTTGGTCCCCATTTTTAAGAGTAAAGAGGATACATAAGAGTGTGCAAATTATAGAGGAATTAAGTTGTTGTGTCATACTTTAAAATTATGGGAGAGGGTAATTGAACATAGGTTAAGTTGTATTGCAAAGATTTCTCATAATCAATTTGGATTTATGCCGGGCAGGTCTACTATAGATGCTATACATTTATTGAGAGGTTTGATGGAGAAGTTCAGAGATAGTAAGAAAGATCTGCATTTGATTTTTATTGATTTAGAAAAAGCTTATGATAAGGTTCTAAGAGATACCCTTTGTAGGGTTCTTGAGAAGAAATGAGTTGATTTGACTTATTTTCAAGTAATTAAAGATATGTATACTAGAGCTATTACATGTGTTCGAATTGAAGGAGGATTGGCCAAATATTTTTCTATTTCTGTTGGATTACATTAGGGATTGGTTTTAATCACATATCTTTTTGCTTTAGTTATGTATAATCTTATTGGATATTTACAGGAGGATGTACCTTGGTATATGCTTTTTGTTTGCTGAAGAAATCTTTCTCGTGGATTAGATGAGAGAAAAAGCCTAGGAAATGCTTGATTTATGGAAGTCTACATTGGAGTCTAAAGACCTTCATTTGAGTAGAACTAAAACTGAATACAGGGAATGCAATTTTAGTAGTAGTAGTTCTAGTGACAAAAGTGTAACTTTGTGTGATCAAATTATTAAAAGGTGTGAATGATTTTGGTATCTCTGATCTGTTGTTCAAAGAGATGGAGATATAGATGGAGATGTTAATAGTAGAATTCAAGTTGGTTGGTTGAAGTGAAGGAATGCTTCGGGCCTTTTGTGTGATAGAAAAGTACCCCTTAAACTGAAAGGAAAATTTTATAAGATAGTGGTGAGACCTGCAATGCTCTATGGCGTTGAATGTTGGCCTTTAAAAGAGAAGCATAACACTAAGTTAAGTGCTCCCGAGATGAGAATGATTAGGTGGATAAGTGGCTTTACACTTAGAGACGAAATGCGAAATGGATATATCTATGATAGGGTTGGTGTAGCTCCAGTGACAGACAAAATTAGAGAGAGTCGTTTTAGATGGTTTGGTCACATTAAACGTCGACCATCTGATGATCCAATTAGGAGAGTAGATGTTGTATATTCGACTTATGTTAAGAAAGACAGAGGTAGACCTAGGAAGACTTTGACTTATTGTATTAACAAAAAAGATCTTAATTTATTAGAACTAAATGAAAATATGACACTAAATGGGACGCAATGGAGAAAATAAATTCATGTAGCTGACCCTATGTACTGGGATTAAAGCTTTGTTGTTGTTGTTTGTTTGTTTTTTTGTTTGTTTTTAAAAATAGAAAAATCATGAGTGTTACCAAGCATGTTATTTTATGCAAAAAAAAAAAAAACAAAAAATAGAAAGTGGTCCCAAATAGCTCCTAAGACATTAATTTTCAATATGTTTAAAGAGTACTTAATGAATTGGAATTTGTTACGCTATCTCATGAATTGGTTTTGTTTTGATACACTGTTTTTTATTTGTAACCAAACTTAAAAGTTTGATTGGAAAAGAATTCTGCTCATCTAAATTTATTTCATAGAATTATTTTTCTTAGAATTTTTGTTTATCTATTTTCTGTTTATTTATTTATATTGTTTTGTTGTTAGAAATGGAAATGACATGTTGCAATTTGAATACCTTATCATATTTTGTGTCATTTTGTTTCCTTTCGTTACAACGTAACATCATAAGATACAATTCAATGGGTTGTGCACACAATGTGACTTGTTAAGAGATACCTTTCAATGGGCGGTGACACAATTTGTTACTTGTTTAGACATACATTTCAATGACCGTTTTCTTTGTCAGGGGTTGGTATCATTAGTTGACCTGTAAAAATTTAATTTTCTTTTAATGTTTAATATTTCCTTAACCACATATTTTTCATAAGTTTTTTTTTAAACACATGCAAGTAAGTTACGCCTCATGTGACCAATGCATACACTAGAAGTCGAACACACATTCCAGTCAGGTCAAAGATGAATCAACAATATCTATTCTTTTTCCCTTGGTCCCACCATCATCTACTACACCAGTTGTTCATACATTTCTGCCAAAACTTATATCTCATCAGTTTCACTTCAAAAAATAAACAAGCGAGTTTAATATCTACAAATAAATTATTTAATTTTCACCACTGTAAATATGTATGAAACTGTTTTTTTCCAACAATCTTTTATTTTAAATCACAGCGAGGATAGAGACTTTGCTATTGATCTCTCTTTAAGAGTGCAACTCTGGTACTTCTTGTTCATTCTAAGTTTATTTTTTAATATTCCTCTATTACATAGATGAGAAGCTGCAACATATTCCCAACTATATACTTATGTATCTTTTTTCATGTATGTTGATATCATTCCATTTTCCTTGAAATCCTTGAAGTTAAAAGTAATGAATTCATCAGTTGAATGCTATTGTGTATTGGCAGATTGCTCCTTTTTGTCTGCAATATGTGCAACTCAATTAAGGCATATCTCAAAAAGATTATTTTTGAGACTTCTAAGTTGATTCGATATTGTTTACTTTTTGTCCCTTAGTGCATCCTTGGGGACTCAAAACTGAGAATAGATGAAAGAAAATTAAATATTCTTTTGAAAATATTTGTCATCATCATCTCTGATCATATCTTAACCATTTATGGTTTTACCAATATTTTGAACTGTTTAGATTGATATTTATTTTATTTGATGTGAAATTGATGTTTCTGCTATTTCAATTTTTTGTTTGGCAGTCAATACTTGTTTTCTTCAACCCTATCAAATTTGGAATAACATTTACTTTCGGCAATTTGCTTGCACTCGGGAGGTTTGTTTCCATTTCTCTGTATTTTTTATAACATGCATTGTATCAAGTTAATTTCTTGATCACGTTGAATGGATTCTCTTGGAGTATGGAAGTTTTATATTAAGTAGCATTATCCAATTTAAATGTTTAATGCCAAATCAAATTTTCTGATATTTAAAAAAATGCTAGTCTGATTGTTCTGCTAAGTTTATAATCTCTTTGTTTGCTATTTTAAGGCTTAATCGTTGGTTGAAATACTTATGGTGAATCATGCATATGATAAGAAACATTTTATTGTTATTGAATTAAGGCTATTTGGTTGCGTGTCTTAAGATTGAATTGCAAAGAAATATATTGTATTTTATTTTTTTTAGCTCATTACCGCCTATTTACTAGTCAAAGCAGGAGATGGAGTCAAAGTGGAAATGAGAAGGGTAGAGCTGGAACAAAGTGAGAGGGCGTGTCTCAGATTTTGGAGGGATGGGTGGGGTCGAATAAAGATGGATGGAGTCAAAGTGGGAGTGCGAGTAAGAGACGGAGAATGAATGTTGAGCCATGGATGGAGTGAGCAGGAAACTTTGAGGATTTTTATTAGTTGGTGGAATTCAAGTGCAAATTGGAGTTGTAGCAAGACCAAGGGTGAGAGGTGAGATAATATTGAATTCATCTAGCAGAGACATAGAAGTGCACTGATGATGACAAAAATGGCTGGCAAAGGTGTGATGATTGGTGATGGGGGTTATTAGATTGCGAAACGGCGCATAAACAAAGTAGAATTGGCCAAAGTGGGGGAGTGCTTAAGAGATGGAGCGTTAGTATTGAGCTAAAGACGAAGCATGAGCAAGCACATTTGAGGATTGCTAGCACTCGGTGGAGTTTGAGTGCAAATCGAAGATGGAATCAGATGGAGGGTGAGGGGTGAGATATTATTGAATTCATCTAGTAGTGGCATAAAAGTGTGATGTTAATGACAAAAAGGGCGAATGATGGTGCGGTGATGCTCGTACGTGAAATGATTAGGCAATGGTTCATAAGTTATGTTAAACGGGCTAGGGTAGTAGTGCGATAAGGAGATGAAGCATGTGTATTTAACCAAAGTTATAGCGTGAGTCATAGATGCAGCTAGACTTGAGTTCATATGACAGAGGTCTAGAAGCGCGGTGATAATAACAAAGGTCTATAGACCGATTGTTGGTTGCGGTGGGTGAGCAGATCAGACAATCACATAAATTGAGGTTTTGAAAATTGGACTAGACATGGAATCAAAAGAAGCGGCTCACGATTTAATGAGTAACTAACCGTTGAATGGGATAATATAATAAATATTAAAATTATTTAAATATGAATCAAAATGGCACACTAATGATATGAATATATGCAAGAATTTGACAAAAATAAATAGAATTGTATTATGAAACATAAAAAATACCCAAAAAAATCGATACAATAATTTAAAAACTAAACACTCAGTATAAACTACTAACCTCACTTTTAGTAGTCATAACAAAATTCAAATGTTTCTTAGAAATATTTTATTTTCTTTCTATAAGATTTGTTGCTTTAAAAATGAAATGCGGGTGAGAGAAAATTATTATCAACTAAAAAATATACAAATAAATAATACAAGTTGAAGTGAAATATTATTTGACAGCAAAGAGCATAAATAGAGTTAAGTTGCAGTATCACAATTCAACATAAAAGTGCTCATAAAGCAAACATTCATGAACAGTGCTAAGCATATTTAAAATTCATCTCTTAAATTTGCATCATCATAAAATGCATTTTTAAACCTCAAATGATTCGAAATCATTACTTTTAAATAATTTATTTTCATATATAGCATTTCTATAATTATCTTAATCTACAAACTAATATATTAAATAAATTATTATTTTACCCATGATTGTTAAAGACAGATTGGATCAACTGGTTCAATTGTGAACTGATCATATGACTAGTTCGATTAGACTGAAAAATCATCCCCCCATCTAACTGGTGGGAACTGGTTAGTCACCAGTTTGATCTGCAAACTTGTTTCAGTTTAGTAGAATCGCCTGGTTCAACTTATGGGCTTTTAATCATTATTAATTATTGTACGAAATCTTATAGTTTATTTTGTATATTATTAAATTTATAGAAATCATTAATTTAAAATACCTTACATCATTAACTCCTTACTTCCAACAAACCATATTGCATATTCCCATTTTTCTTATCAAAATTTGTAAAGCTGCGAGCTGCAAATGCTGTGTGAATGCCGACGAGGTTGAGTCTATGTTGGCGAGGCTGCATTTTTTTGAATTGTTAGGTTTAATTCTTAAAATTTGATAATTTATTCCCATTAAGTTCTTGTTTTTTTTCTATATTATGTGTTCTTAAAGCTTTAGCTTGATAATTTGTTTTCCTTTCTTTCTTTATTATGTATTTGACATTCTGCTTTCCTTTCTTAAAGCTTTAGCTTAATAATTTATTTTCCTTTATTTGGTTAAAGCTTCTCAAGGGCTATTCGGGGTCACTTTTGTTTTGTATTTTATTTTTTATTTTGATTTTTTAATTTAAATTAAAATATGTTTAAATTGTGTGTGACTGCCGACGAGGTTGAGTCTGTACTGGCGAGGCTACATTTTTTTGAATTGTTAGGTTTAATTCTTAAAATTTGATAATTTATTCCCGTTAAGTTCTTGTTTTTTTCTATATTATATTTTCTTAAAGCTTTAGCTTCATAATTTGTTTTCCTTTCTTTCTTTATTATGTATTTGACATTCTGTTTTCCTTTCTTACAGCTTTAGGTTAATACTTTGTTTTCCTTTATTAGGCTAAAGCTTCTTAGGGGCAATTCAGGATCACTTTTGCTTTGTATTTTATTTTTTATTTTTATTTTTTAATTTAAATTAAAATATGTTTAATTGAGGTAGTTATTTTTAAAAGCATTCAAAATATCTTTAAGGTATTTAGAGTGTTTTTTAAAAAGAAGTTGATTTATTTTTAAAAATAAAAATAAATATAGAAAAATTATACCAACAAAAATGTTAAAAAAAGGAAACAAAAGTAACGACAAATAGAACCTTAATAATCTATTTGTTTTTGATGTTTCTTCTAATGTATTTTTTGTGGGATGGGTAGCTTATTGCACTTACAAGAATGATTTAGTTTTCTATTTTGGATTTTATTGAAATTTTACCACTCCAATCATAACAAAGTACTTAAGGTATACGGATTGAAGTTTTTTACTATTGGATCTGTTTCTCTATGACTTTTGGATTGTAATCCATGTGTATTAATCATGTAAGATCACAAAACCTTTATTTTTTTCCTATTTTATTGATTTATTTCTATTTTGTAATGCCACGTGAAGAAGCGCGTTCGCGCGCACCCACCCACACACCTTTCTTGTATAAAGAAAATAGATTCTCGAGAATTTTTTCATTATTCTATTTTCTACATGTCAGAAAAAAATTAAGTGTTCCTTGCAGCCTTTGTTCATATTCTTTAAGATTAGGGTTTCCACTTCCAACTTTATCCTTGTTGAATTCACTTTCTATTACTACGTGTTGATTATTTAAGTTTCCTTTAAAGAAGTCAACTATGACTAATGGTGAAAATTTGACTTAATGTGAACTCCATTTCAAACATTTTTTCCTTTCAATGAGAAAAATTATTTTAAATAGTCTCAAATTATGAAGACCTTTTCTAACGGGAATGAAAAATATTCATCATTCTGGATCTATCTTTGGAGCTCAAAGTTCCAAAGTTTATATTTTAGAGAGAAACTAGTTTCATGATTATGACAATCACAGAATACCATGCTACCATAGATTAATGAGCCTTCTGCTCCTCTCTGCCGCGAAAGAGATTTGTGATACAATTAAACAAATCCATTTAAAAGTTGAATAATTTTGCACTCATCTTCAAAATCAAGGCAAAGCTCATCACTACCAAATAAAATAACCTTTCTGTTATTGAAGATTTTAACTCCATGAACGTTGATTAGTTAGAGTTCGGTTACTATCAATATGTCAAGATGTCTAGTTGTGAGGATGGGTGATCCTTAAAAAAATTGCTGTGCGAGAGAGAATTTTGAAACTTTGACAAGACTCAATAATAAATTTGAATCTAGTTCTTAATCTCTCTTTAATTGAAGTATTCTCTCTCATACTAGTTGAAGAAGGAAGAATGGTAATGATCAATGGTCTAACTTATAGGATATCTGCCATAACAATTTTTGACTCACAAGATAAGAGTCTTTCTGTATGAAAAATGATCTTAATTTATTAGAATTAAATGATAGAATTAAATGAAAATATTAAATGAAAATAAGACACTCAATAGGACATAATGGAGAAAAAAGATTCATGTAGCCGACCCCACTTAGTGTGATAAAGGTTTGTTGTTGTTGTTGTTGTTGTTATAAGATAAGAAACTTTCTGTCACAGAATCCTCTCCAAAAGGACAAATTTTCTTTCAAAGATAATTTCTAGTGCAACAATTGAAAAAAAAGAAGGCACACCAAAAGCAAATGCTGAAAAATTCACGGAAAGCCTCAAGTTTATGAAGTAAATGCTAAAATAAAAAACTGGGCAAGCCTGTCAAGTGGAACTAGAATGACTCAGTTCAGAAGAAATTGATAAATTAAGAAATGTTTTAAATCTCTTAAAAAGTCAATAATATCTTGCCCTCTTGCTCAAAATGATATAATTTTTAATTATTATCAGAATATTTAATTCTTGTGAGATTAAGGCTTGTTGTTGTTGTTGTTTCCCTCTTTGAATCCTATATTCAAGGGCCATTGACTACATTACAAATTTTGCTAATATCTTTCAAACTTACTAATTTCGTTCTGATAATAAGAAAATAAAAGTTGCAGTTGGATCTTTAACAATTGTTGCAGGACAGAGAGATTTTTAATTTTTTTTTCAACTTAACTCTTAATAATTTATTAAATATTTCACATTTTATAAATAACCATTTATGTATTGAAATATTTATCAATGACCACAATTATAAAGTAATTTTTTTTTAGG